TAGGATGGAGTGAGAGGTTCCTCGTACTAGGCCAGTGATTGTTCTAATGGCATCTAAATGTAAAAAATCTAATTTCGCGGAATCTTGAAGGCTGCAATTATTCGAAAGAACGTCAGCGAAATCATATACCGGAAGAATAAAATGTTTGTATAAAGTTTCTAATGATTTTCTAGAAATTCGATATTTGAGGCTTCGAAGGCAATCTATCAATTTAGATGTTTTAGAAACTAGGTAATTAATATGAGCTGTCCAAGAACAATCTTTACTTAAAATTACACCAAGGTGTTTGTGTTTGTCTGAATCTTCTAAAATGTTATTATTAAAATTTAAAGTAAAATTTGAGGGTTCTAGTTTTCGTGAAAAAGTCATACATTTTGTTTTCAGAGGGTTAAAAATAATTTTCCATTTCAGAGACCATTGATAAATCGTTTCAATATCAAAATTTAATCATCTATGCCAAGATAAAGCGATGTGTTGTCAGCGAAGAGACGAATGTTGGAGTTAATGTTTTCAGTAATATCGTTTATGTATATTAAAAATAAAAGAGGACCTAAGACAGACCCCTGTGGAACGCCAGCTGTTTGCCTGAAGTTTCGCCTTTAATGATAATTCCATTGGGACTAAGTTTATGTACGAGTCCTTTCAACCAAATTTTGTCAAATGCGCGACTTATGTCAAAACAGATCATTTTAATTTCTCCACCGTTATCTAATTTTTTTAAAATATCGTCATAAATTTATAATAATTGATATACTGTTGAGTCTTTAGGTCGATAATTTGATCATAGGTTTGGGTTATCTTTCTTAAACAAAGGTATAACGTTGACATGTTTCCAAGTTTGAGGGAAATGGCAATGGGATTGAAACAGGTTAAAAAGAGCCGACAAAGGAGAAGCTAAACTTTTAGAACAAAGTTTTAATATGCGATTATTTATAAAATCAAGATTTGAGAGAATTGTTTCAACTTCACAAGTAGTATATACAGGTTGTTCAATTTGAGTTTCATTAAAAATAAGGGGAGGTAATTCTATGTCTTTTCGTTGTTAAGCGTTTTGTCCAACGTTTTCTAAATTAATCGCCATCACCGGGACAAGCCAAAGCTTTCTTATTGCCATTAGATTTTTCTTTGATACTTCCATGTCATCTTTTCGCTGCTCCAGACATTATCGAAATTTCGCTGTTCAAAATTTGGACTATATTTGCCTGTCAAATAATTCAAACTAACAAACAAAGTAGATATATTGAACTCGTGTGAAATCTAATCACCGGTATTGAAAGGGTTAACATGATAAGTGCTAACCTGGATTATACTTAAACTCACTAAATGACACAAAAGTTTTTAATTAACTTGTTAATGGAGTCGCCAATTAAACATTTTAAAGATACAATACTGAAATTTATGAGAACTATACACCAAATTCTAGAGAAATGAGCCCTTTAACGTATCTGCAAGATTTAAGTAAAAAAAATCCAGCCAAAAAAATTTAAAAATATAACGTAATGTTTTTAAGTTCGTTATGCTTTTCGGAAACTGTTAGAAAACTACTGCACGGATTTGAGTAAATTAAACGCCGAATTGTAGAGATATATGTCTACTTATTCTAAAGGTTTCAACTAATAACATCAAACTATTATAAATCCTAACACCAAAACTAGGTCAAACTGCTTAATTAACAATTAATACTCGCCGTTTTTAATTAACCCTTTTAAAACAAATTCAGTTTGACCAAGAAGATCCATAGATATAAATAGCATACTTTAGAAATTCTTTCAGGTATAATTTACGACGTTTTTGACAATGAAAACTTTCTACAAAAAAAGCGGAATACCCCTTTAAAGACTCACCGAGACGCCTATATCATTTCTTCTCTAAGAGAAATGAAACTTATCCTCTAAGAAAGTTTTTGTAAAAATCTGTGCACGCTGATTTATTCCACGACAAAGACTTAGACAATGTGACAATCTTGGAAATATTTTGAAAAAATGGAAAAGCAAATATTTAAAATACATGCAATTTAGAAAGGATGTTATTTAGTTGTAGGTAGAAACGGAATGAGATATGAAATATTACATTGGTTTTACTGAAGTCTTTGCAATCTTTCTCTTCATTGCTGGTGGTGAAACAGCTTGTGAAGGATCATGTAAAAACGAAATGCAAAAAGGTACTAGCTTTCGTGAGTGATAATACCTTAGTTTGTTTTTAGTATCTGGACACGTATGAGAGAGGGCCCCACTCAGGTTTATTGATAAAAAAAGCAACTAAGGCTTCGGTCTGCTCTTGTCCTGGTCGATAATCATTATATTTTACACGTTATTATATGGCTTCATGTCCTCCCTTTAAAAATCCCATTGAAATTATTGGGTATAAAACTTTAAGGCTCGATTATTTCCACTGTCACATAGTTCTAAACTTTAGCATTCTAATTATTCTTCATTGATGGCGTTTTTTACTATTTATATTTTTAAAAGAAGTTTCAACTCTCGTGGCTGTAATACTTGTTGTATTTCTAGATACTTGTATATTGATCACAGTAAAGAAGTTTCGATGTATTTACGAAACAGAATTTATTGAATCGGCTACCTTCAATATCACATCATCACATATCCATAAACTGTGAGTGCAATCTTAATGACCTATGCTACGCTGAGACTTGGACGATTTTTGTACCCGCAATACTGCTCGGAGGTGCTGACGAGGCGTGTCAGTTCGCATGTTCCTTAAGCAACACTACGATTATTCACATCTAACCGTTGCTATTCTCGTCATCATAGACTAATAACCTCCCTTGGCAAACCAAGCGTCACTATTAAGTTTATCCAATCAGGAATCTAGTAACACTTGGTGTAATAGGGTGGTGATTGCAAATGGTGGCCTCCATTGAATTATCCGGAAATGTCGCAGATTCGCACCAACCACCTTTTCGATAATCCATTGATAACTTTGAGACTCAATTATCAGAAAGAAATTTTACTAAAATTTTGTGTCTGGTTATTCAAACATTTTCCTACAATAATATGTTGGAAGAAATCTAATTGGTAGAGAAGTAAACTCTCTACCAATCAAAATTAATGACTAGAATATGGGATTGTGAGAGCAACGGCTAGATGATCATTATCATGTAACGGTGCTTAAGTCAATTCGGTGCTTCGGAACTTGCACGCACGCCCGATATTGTAACTCATCATACACTTAGATTGTCATAGCTTCATCTGTAGAATTTTTTAGTACAAGATTAATGCAATGGATACAGGATACGCAATATGTTATTTTAGAGAATATTGACATGACAGCAACGGCAACGCGCTTTCTATAATTGAATTTTAATTCTTTATTGATATTTAACAAGTAACAAACCAGACATTTAAGACTTTTTACGAGCTGAGATTAATTATTCAAACTTTTCATTTCAGAAACAAATGTAACACTACATCAGTGAATAGTGAAACAGTTACTTTTGAATGTCCGTACGACGCAAACTATACACTCCTTCCAATGACATTGACAATAAAAGCTACACACCGTCATAACTCGAATACCCGAGTCGTCAACATCAATCTAACTAAATTCTGTTAGTGATAATAATATGTTTCTTAAACCTTCTGCTTTGCAAATTGATTTCAAGAAACTAATTTGTTACAAAAAAATCTTTTTGTACCAGCAGTAGACTACTTTAACTGAAAACGTTTTCTCGCAAGTGTTAGCGTTATGCTTGTGAATACAAAGATTTTTAACTTAGTACTTGGATTAACGAATACTGAATAATAGTCTTACCATCTTTTGAGTCTTACCTCGGTACATCTCGATCTCCCAATAAAATACAATTTGTTTAATGAAACCTGTAAGACAATAAATTTTGATTGGATAAAGGGGATCAAGGTAGGTCCTTTGGTACTGTAAAACATGGAAGGAAACCAGGAGATTAGTACATTGTTTCATCCCCTCGTAGTACATCACTTAATGCATGAGTATAATTTTTATTTCCAGTCCGTCCATCAAAGGTGTCCAACGTGCAGATTTATGCGTCTAGTAACACTGGAATTAACTTACATGGAGACCTCGATTCCAGACCTCTATCAAACAACTCCAAAAAGGTCGTTAACGTAAAATTCTTTAGCCTTCAAAACTTTCACGAGCCAGTAAGTACCAAAAGGGAAATTTTTTTTATATAAAATGAATAGTTCACATGAAACCATATCTACCTTATACAATGATTGTATACCCCAATTTCACTGTAGTTGTCACCGAACATGTTTTTGATCGATTGGCTGCATTTTGGCAAACCTGTGAACAGTGGCGGAGCCAAAGGGGGGGG